TTTTTTTTTTCAAGTAATAGGTTTTTTTTTAATCAATAAGTTTTTTTTATGTAAAAAAAAAAAACAAGCATCTTGAAGTCACAAAGTTTCTGGTGTTAAACAACTCCTTAGACTTCTCACGTATGCTGTTTTTTTAACATTAAAAAAATTTATTACTCAAAAAAAGAGACTTATTACTTAAAAAAGAAAGAATCTAACCATTTGAAAAAAAACTTACTACTTTGAAAAACTCTATTACTTAAATAAAAACTTATTATTTAGTTAGCGGAGTCTCTTGACACCCGAAATCTTCCATTGTCTAGTGGTTTTGCCGGCGACATTCTGGGTCATGGAGTTCTGCTACGAAACACCACACTGGGGCCCCTACATTCGCTTTATTTTTTTCCTTTCTAATTGCAGAAATCTTAATCTTTTCAGTTTTCTTCTTTTCCTTTTTGAATAAACTAGTCAAACACAGAACATATTTTCACTTTTTCTTCTCATTATTACTTCCAGTTTTACTTCAGTATTCGCTACTTTTTATTTGTATTTTTTTAAATTTTCTTAGCTACTAAGCTACTGTATTTTTTTCTTCTGCCACTTCATGAACACCTTTCTTAACTGCTCATAACTTATTTTCCTTTCTTTTCACATTTTTTTTAAAGCGTTTTGAATGTAGATTACAGTAGATTACAGTAACCAAAAAGAAAGCTAAGGTAGATGGACATTTAATGAAGTTATTGCAGTTAAACTTTTGAAAAGTATGTGTAGAAAATTAAAATAAGTCTCATATTTTGGCTAAAATCTCGACTGAAAATGAAAATTACAGCATGATACTGCGAACATAAACAGATATGACTTTAGCGAACAGTGTGCAGCAGCTGCAACACTACTTACAAGAGTTACCTAAAGCTGTAGCATATCTTTACTGGAATCATCCGACTTTACCAGATGTCTTCGTAATACACATTAGCATTGTACCAGATCCGCTAAAATTTAGTCACAATGAATGATAATTCACTAGAAA